CGTCTTAATCAAAACAAAGAAGCTTCTAGAATATGTCGTCATCTCCTACACCTCATTAAAATAACCAGTAAAAAGTTTATATTTTTTGCACTAGACCACTGACAGTATTTTTAAAAAAAGTCTTTAATTTCATAAATTTTAGTCAAATATTAGCTTTATTAGGACCGTCACAGGTTTGATGCTATTACTTATAAAGTTTTCTTTTTAAACAGAAAACTTTTAATTCAAATCACAAATCTGTTAAATATTTGAGGAACAAGAAACGTCATTAGAAGTTTAACAACTTGAGCTATAAACCAAAAACAACAGATATGAGTAAGCTAAAGTTATTAAAGTTAATTGTTGGTTGCACACCTTAAAATTGTTCATTCACATTTCTAATGGTCCATCATCAAATGTCCACTTTTTTTCCATTTTATCTTTTGGAAAATCAAATATGTGATCGCCAACTCCTCGATCTGATAAAGTATTGCTGGTAATCAACTTTAATAGTGTCATCTGTTTTCTGTATTTTATATGACGATAGACTACATAGACAAGTGAGGAGATAATTAGTCCAATTAGTATTATTCCAACTGCTATTCTCGTAAAAAGAATTATTGGACGCACTAAAATAAAGAGCTGGAATTAGAATTTTTTATCCTATTTTAGACTGACTACATTTTTTGGTAATTTAGCTATAAAAAACATTTTTTAGTATTAGATTTAATGGCTTCAATTTGCGGACAAATTTGTTGATTTTCGTATTATTATTGCACTAAATTAGTGCAAACTATCTGCAGCAAGAGTTGCCGACAACAAACCTTTCTTACTGCCTTAGTATGGTGAAACGTAAGCAGACAGTAGAATGTATCGTTCGATTATACCAAAAAATTTTACCTGGATATTCGGCATTTGAATGTATCATCGACACCGAAGAATTTGTTGTACTGTGTTGCAAATCTTCGGAATATCTGTCAAAGTTTCTATCAAACTTCAGCTTCTGTTCCGCTATAAAAAAGGCTGTTGTGAACTTTGCATAGTAAATTTTCCGGTTTGTAACTATCGTTATTCCCAAAAAAAAAGGCATCATGTTGTAAGATTTGACTAAGAAAAAGTAGAATAACAGAATTCTGCATTAAAACTTTTTAACACAAAGCCGAGAAGAAATAAACTGTAATGAGATTGCCGCTTGAAATTTTCTTTCAATTTAGCGGTCAGAGAGAGATCAAGAAAAAAGCTTAACAATATACTTTGAATTTCTTCAGCTCTGACCAATTATCGGTTTTGACCGACAAATGACTTGTAGTTTTCGTAACACTTAACAGTCAAATGTCAATTAGGTTATATAGCTCATTAATACTTAATGGCCAATAATACCAAACTTTTTAGTGGATTCAACTGAAATTTAATAAATTTTTTATCTTACTTATTTGAACCTAAGTTGCATTTAATCTATTTTTAAGTTTAGACGCTTTTTTGATCATACAAAAATAGCAGCAACATTTTTTTCATTTGTTAGTTATTTTATCTTATTTTACGATGAAGAAACTTTAAAACAAGTGTGAAAGATAAAAAATTGCAATTTTAATGTCTATTCAAGCCCAATTATAAGACGCGCTTGAACTTACAGCAGCAAAGAATAATTATAATTTTAAACGCATATTACAAGAAATGTTACTGAGTCATATCAAAATGTTGGCAGTGCTGTACCTTGATTTCATTAAGTATACAATTAAGTTTTTGAAAAACCAACTTTCTGCAGACTTTTGAAACGCAATTTGCATATACTTTTTTGGCACTAAAAGTACCAAGTAATACTTATGAGACAAACACAGAAATTTATAAGCTTGCTAACTGATTTAAGAATTTACTATTTCTTCACAGTGTAAGAGACGCTAAAGCGGCAAAGATTCTCCGGAAAGAGGACCTAAACTTTTCAAAATCCTAAAAATAGACCTAAAATAAAAGCTGGTGAGAAGAAAATCAGATAGACGCTGTTTAACTAC